CGGCACTCCGATTAACTATTTCCAGCCATTATCAAGTAACCCCCCCCCGCAAATCCAAGCTTACAGCTGGTATTCCCAATTGGCCAAGTGTCTTCGTATTTCCTGTTCTTTGATTATATTCTTTCGCTAATATTTTTTCTCTCTCATATTTAGTAACTCATTGCGTCTTAGTGGCTTTATTTTCTTGCTTGAAGTGAAATGATAAAAAAATTCATACGATGCTTGTTGTGTGTATGATTATTCTTAGGATTATCTAATCTCCACCTTCGACTGTACTGTTTATTTATAAGCCATTCATATGGAAATGAATTTTGTCACTCAAAATCAGCTAATGAACAAATTCATTATTTTCATTAGCCAGCCTCTGAATCTATGCCAATTGATTTAAGAGTTGTCGACGATCTATCGGTTAACCTTTTTATACCATTTGAACTGTTTATGGATAAAGGTGAAAATCACCTCTTAGTCTACGATGCAAGGATTTCAACTCGTCAGGCGTTTGCGAATCAACGTTACTGCTTATTGTTCAACAGAGTTTCGCATATTTTTGTAATGTCAACGAACACTCGTTGTCACTTTTGTGAGGTCAACAAATACTCGTTGTCCCTTTCGTAATGCTCTTTGTAGTAGAGACTTTGTAATCGCAGATACAACTATAATACGCCTTTGAACAATACTGGCATCAGTCACCTTCGAATATCACTCGCACTAATAGTACCTGCTCGATAACACTCGTTCGAACAATAATTCATATAGTGATCCAAATAGAGGAATAGAATAGTAAATAGAGTAGAGAAAATCGGCCCGTATAGTAATAGAGGATAGAGTATAAATGAAGATCCAAATAGTAATATAGTATAGAATAGAAATGCGATAATATTTATTGTAAAACATGTACAAATGTGGCACAAGGCCGAAAAAGGGGAAAAGGATGGTCTTCTGTCTTATCATTAAACTTGTCTAGCCGCAAACACTGACCCAACCATATTGACAATATTCCTTTCACCAAAACAACACATTCTTACTTACCATTCTTACCCCATAATGCCTCAAAAACTCTATGAAGTTCTAACTAGTCCCCATATATACAATTTATTTTTTTGGGGGGGGATAAAATAACAATTAAAAAATCCCCAATGAGTATTTACAAATATGTACAAACTATATACAAGAAACTAAACAAAATTTTTGTTAGTAATAAAAAAAACCCACAAAGCCCTAAATGTAGCAGTAACGTCAGTTCACTGGACAAAATCAATACGGGACTTGAAAAAAATATAAAACATTCATATATCCCAAGCACTCACTAAAACACACGCTCATTCAAACACAAAAACAGTTACGTTGGTCACACCCGAAACGAAAGACGCCCGCACCCACAAGAGAACTGACATCACTATCCACCTAAAGATGGGAGGGGAGAGGAAAAACCAAAAGAAAAAATAGGGACAAAAATAACAGGGGCAAATGAGCATACACACCCTAGCTAAGTTTACTAAAGAAAAAAAACTAAAACTAAAAACGACCTACACTAAACTATTAAGGAGAGGGTTGCTAATGTTCAACTCAGCAACTGCAATATCCTCCTAACCGGCATCAAAATGCCATTCTAAGTCAGCACCTTTTACTCGGCAGAGACGCGCAAGACTCACCCACCTTTCACCAAATTCCAATGGATGGAGTCGTTTCCTTTTCGTCCTGATCTTGACGTTAAGCTGATGCTTAAATAACAGGACCAGTTGGGAAGAGGTAAACTTCTCCGCCCCATGGAATTCCTTCGGTCGCGTCGTCCATATCACGACTCGCATAACCCCCAGTAAGCAAAGGAACACATAGTGCTGAGCCTTAGTCAACAGCGGTACTATATTGCTACAGATGCAACAGGCCTCGAGGACAAAGAACTTTCCGCGCAGCATGCGAACCATGATGTCTTCAACAAACTTGCACAACGGAGCTACGACACTACAATGGAAAAAGGCGTTACCTAGGGTCTCCACCGCCTCACTGCAGCGAAAACAGTTTGGCTACTTTGTCAAACCCGCGGAATGAATTCATTTGGCGACCCAGAGGGCCCCTCGAATCACCAACCAGGCGAGTGATGCCTCAGAGTTAGTGAGACAACCCGGACGCCCAAGGCCATATGCAGCGAGCCTCCCACTTCGTCAGACCAAGTTCGCCTATCAAAGCATCCTGAACGTTCCCCCGAACTATTAGGTTGGTGCAAAAATAATGACGTAATAATGTCGTTTTTTAACGTCAAAAACGACATTATTACGTCATTATTTTTGCACCAACCTAATAACACCTGATATAATGCCTTACGGGACAACAGCTGGACGTCAGAGAGGCTATCCTTTGCCCGTAAGAGTTGCTTGAGGGCAAGCCTACATTTTTGATAGAAGGGGCCCTCGCCTCGAGGTGAACGGCCGGCCTCTTCCTCACACGAGCGCACATTTTTTAAGGTTGGAAATTTTCTACGAGCGTCTTCCTTCAAGAATTCGCCGTTACCATCCAATTGCATACACATCCGGTCTAGATAAGTAATGCGAAGCGTATGTCGACGAGTCTCAACGCAAGGCATCCCCAGACCGCCATCAGAAGGATGGAGGTAACGGACCTCGCGGCTAACCATGGCGGCTTTGCCTCCCCACAAGAAGGAGAACAAGAGCCTTACAAACGCCAATAAAGTGTCAAACGGGAGTGGAAGCATGGAGAATCGGTAAAGGAGAATTGGGTAGATGTGCGAGGCACATACTTCCGCTCTCCCCTTAAAGGAAAGATTCGTCCTGGACCACAGATGAACTGCGACCTCGGCCTTCTCCCGCAACTCCAACCAATTAATTTCCAACAAGAGGTCGGTACCAAACCATACGCCGATTATCTTGACCGGCACGTCCGTCCAGTGGAAAGATCCGGGAAGAGAAACTCCCTTCCACGAGCCCAAACGCAAGCCAACAGACATATCGCGGTTGATCTTGTCCCATCTCTTAGCCATTGATTTCTTTGCTGACATCGTTTCGCCTCTGCTCGACACAAGAAACGAAACGTCATCAGCATAGACGGAATACTTGTCCGAGTTGGTAACACCAGGTAAGGAAATTACGCGAAGCACCGGATTCGTCTTCAACGTACGCAGGAAAGGTTCCAACGCAAGAACGTACAGCAATGGAGACAGCGGACAACCTTGACGAATGGAGCGAGACAAAATGAAAGGTCTCGATTTTACCCCATTCACTTCTACCAGCGCACCGGGGGACGCATACAGCAGTCGGATCCAAGTGCGAAAGTCCGGCCCGAAACCGGCGGCCGAAAGAACAGCCTCAAGAAATCGATGGTCAACCCTATCGAAAGCATTGGACTGATCTAAATTGATCAGCGCGGCATCAATGTCGACTTGCTCGATGATCAAGCGTACCAGATGAAGGTTGTCCTGAATAGTCCTGCCCTTCACAGCACAAGTCTATCTCGGGACCAATCAGAATAGAGAGGACAGCCTGCAAACGGCCGGCTAAGACCTGGGCTAAAATCTTCAACTCTGTATTTAACATCGTCAAAGGCCGATAATTATCTGCCCCATCCCCACCGTCTTTCTTCTTGCGAAGCAACTTGATCACACCCCTGGTGAAGCGTTGAGGTATAGACCCCTGCTTCATCCAGTTATTGAAAATCAGTGCCAGCAATGGAACAAAGATGGGCGACTGCCTCAAGTAAATTTCGTCAGGAAGACCATCTAATCCCGGAGTCTTGTCCAGGCCAACCTGTTTCAGCGCATCCCAAATCTCAGACTCTTTAATGGGACCCTCGCACCAAGCAGATTCAGCCGCCTCGAGGCGGGGAAAGTCGGCTAAATAGGCATCGAACTGAGCAGGTTAAAAGTGCAAAACAAAAAAAATTAATACAATAATACAGGCGGGAAAAAAGTTTAACAATAATAAAGAAAAACGATAATCTTCAAAAATATACGAAACAAATTAAAATTTTTTCAATATGGCCGCTGTTAAAAAACAAAGTCTGGCGAGAAAACGAACGAAACGCCAACAATGACAAAGAGAGATTAAACAAATTAAACGTGAAATTTAACACAGAACGATTAACGATAAAAACACGAACTTAAATGATATTTAAAAAGAAAAACAAGAAACAAATTAACACGTAATAAATAAAGAAAAAATGAAAAAGTAAGACAATATAAACACATGGAAACAAAGAAAGAATTTGAGGGGAAGGGTTACAGAAAATTAACAAAAGAAAATAAAACCAAAATAATAATAAGAGGAAAGAAAAATGGATAAAGTAAAATGAGGGGTAGTGAAAAAAGAAAAAAAAATCAAACTTTTTGCAAAGAACAGTCAGTAATGAAAACGTAAGCAAAAATAAAAAGAAACTTATTGTAACAAAAGAGTTCAAAACAAACAATCGTTTAGGTTGACAGAAATTACTGCTAAAAGAAAGAATTACCGGTCGTAAAGAGCCGGTAAAAAAGGAACGCTACTACCAGAATAGGAATGAGATCGATTAGACATCATGCTACTTTCTATTTATACGTTTCTTTTATGGTCACGTGGTCTACTTAATTGAATAATGGGATCACCTGCGTTTGCTCACTGGCGATCTATGTTCAAACTCAAGTGTCGGCAGAGAAACTTTATCCCTATATAGCACAGATACTCATGATTCCTCTGCAAACGAACTTTGTTTGTGATCTTCCACATGGTGGATAATTACATCGTCTAAATTAATTGATTGACTGATTTATTTGTTTTTTTACGGCTTATCAAACTTTTTGTAGATTATTTAAAGCGAAATCCTATTTTTGGACTGTAAGAATCATTTTACGAGTGGATATTAACAATATTTTAACATAATAATAATTTTCATATAAAAGTACTCTTATTTTGCCTATAACTAGGGTAATAAAATTATTTCGCCTAAAACTGAAGTAATAAAATTTCTCTTTCTGTGCCGTTAATCTGTACACCTCCATGAAAGCGTATAAAACCTTACAGAACATGGTATTCCCAGGCGGCCATCCATCTAGATACTGAACAGGCTCGACGTTGGTTAACTTTGGTGATCTTACGGGAACCGTTGTTTTCAACGTGATATGGCCGTAAGCCCATATTGACTAAAACGTTTAATCAAGCGACATATTATGAAATCCAGTTGTCGTTTTCTGTCATGGAAATGTCAGCGGTATTCTCTTTGGCTGCGAATGATAAATTGGCTAAACCCAAAATAGAGTTCTACTATTTTATTCTTTGTTCAGTTGAGAATTACCAATGGGTAATTGCCATATGCCAATCTAACTCCTGAAAAAAGAAGAAACAAACATCTATGAAGTTTCTTTTGACTATCTAGGAAATTGAAACAAAATGTCGCTATACATTGTTTTATGTGAAGATATACAGTCAACGACGAAATTATTCGTACACTCATTAATTCCTAATATTTTTATCCATTTCTCAGAATCTAATGCCCGTATGATGCCAGAATCTTGTATGCTAATAAGTACAAAAAAGTAATATAAAACTCACTTTCCAGAACAATACAAGATAATTTTTCCAGACTTAAAATTCTAGCCCATTTTTCCAGCCTTCTTTCCCTAGCATCCTTTTTATAACCTGAATTCTCTGGCTCATTTTTCAAGCCTTAAGATTCTAGCACACGTTCCAGCCATCAGTTTCTATCTCCTCTTTGAAGCCTGAAGATTCTGATAGATTTTCCATCCATCAGTCTCTAGCTTCTTTTTCCAGCCTTAAGATTCCAGCTCATTTTCCAATCTCCATTCCCTAGCTTCTTTTTTACAACCTAAAGTCTCTAGCTCTTTTTCCAACATTAAGATTCTATCAAATTTCTCCAAGCTTAAGATTCTAACACATTTACCAGTCATCAGTCTCTCGCTCCTTTATCCGTGTTGTGGCCTGTTAGGGGCCAGAAAGAAAGACACGGAAAGAAAAAGATAGGTTGAACAAGTGAATTGAAATAACATATATATATATATATATATATATATATAACGTAAGAGTGTTATTAGTCAGCAGATGGAAGTGTCCATCCAAACAGTCAGGTTAAACTGCGTCTCGACTGACTTGACCGCCTCCCCGGTTGGTATTTATGAAGGAGGAAGAGTTCATTCCCATGTAGGTAGGTCACCATAAAAATCCGGTATTCTAGCTCATTTTTCCAAACTTCAGTCTCTAGTTTCTGTTTCCAGCATTAACATTCCAACTCCAAACTTCCGTCTCCAGAACAATTTCCACCTTAAGATTCTAGCATATTTATCCAGCCATCAGTCTCTAGCACCTATTTCCATCCTTAAGATCCCAGCTCATTTTCCAGCCATCAGTCTTTAGCTCCTTTTACATCCTTAAAATTATTGCTCATTTTCCAGCCTTTATTCCCTAGCTTCTTTTTATAACATGAAATCACTAGCTCATTTTTCAAGCCTTAAAACGCTAGCTCATTTTACAGCCATCAGTCTCTAGCTCCTCTTTACAGCCTTAAGGTTCTAGCTCATTTTTCAGCCTTTAGTATCCAGCTCATTTTTCAGCCTTTAGTATCCAGCTAATTTTCAGCTTTAAGATTCAAGCTCAGTTTTCCAGCCTTAATTTCCTAGCTAATTTTTACAGTTTAACGCCTCTAGATCCTTTTTACAGACTTACGTCTCTATGTCATTTTACCACACATCAGTCTCTAGCATTTATTTCCATCCTTAAGATCCCAGCTCATTTTCCAGCCATCAGTCTTTAGCTCCTTTTACATCCTTAAAATTATTGCTCATTTTCCAGCCTTTATTCCCTAGCTTCTTTTTATAACATGAAATCACTAGCTCATTTTTCAAGCCTTAAAACGCTAGCTCATTTTACAGCCATCAGTCTCTAGCTCCTCTTTACAGCCTTAAGGTTCTAGCTCATTTTTCAGCCTTTAGTATCCAGCTCATTTTTCAGCCTTTAGTATCCAGCTCATTTTTCAGCCTTTAGTATCCAGCTAATTTTCAGCTTTAAGATTCAAGCTCAGTTTTCCAGCCTTAATTTCCTAGCTAATTTTTACAGTTTAACGCCTCTAGATCCTTTTACAGACTTACGTCTCTATGTCATTTTTTACCACACATCAGTCTCTAACATTTATTTCCATCCTTAAGATCCCAGCTCATTTTCCAGCCATCAGTCTTTAGCTCCTTTTACATCCTTAAAATTATTGCTCATTTTCCCGCCTTTATTCCCTAGCTTCTTTTTTTATAACATGAAATCACTAGCTCATTTTTCAAGCCTTAAAACGCTAGCTCATTTTACAGCCATCAGTCTCTAGCTCCTCTTTACAGCCTTAAGGTTCTAGCTCATTTTTCAGCCTTTAGTATCCAGCTCATTTTTCAGCCTTTAGTATCCAGCTCATTTTTCAGCCTTTAGTATCCAGCTAATTTTCAGCTTTAAGATTCAAGCTCAGTTTTCCAGCCTTAATTTCCTAGCTAATTTTTACAGTTTAACGCCTCTAGATCCTTTTTACAGACTTACGTCTCTATGTCATTTTACCACACATCAGTCTCTAGCATTTATTTCCATCCTTAAGATTCCAGCTCATTTTCCAGCCATCAGTCTTTAGCTCCTTTTACATCCTTAAAATTATTGCTCATTTTTACCGCCTTTATTCCCTAGCTTCTTTTTATATCATGAAATCATTAGCTCATTTTTCAAGACTTAAGAGTCTAGCTCGTCTTTACAGCCTTAAGGTTCTAGCTCATTTTTCCAGCCTAAGGTATCCAGCTCATTTTTCAGCCTTTAGTATCCAGCTCATTTTTCCAGCCTTTAGTATCCAGCTAATTTTCAGCCTTAAGATTCAAGCTCAGTTTTCCAGCCTTCATTTCCTAGCTAATTTTTACAATTTAACGCCTCTAGATCCTTTTTACAGACTTATGTCTCTATGTCATTTTACCAGACGTCTGTGGTTCATTTTTTTCAGTCTGCAGTTTCTAGCTTATTTTCCCAGACTTCAGTCTGTAGCTCTTTTTCTTGGAATGTTGAAGCAATAAACCTACTCTGGTTATTTAATTACTCAAATATTGAAATACTTCAGCAGGTAATAACTAATTACAAATCTTGCAAAAACATATTTATAAGTAGGAAAATTATTCCAAATTTAGTTGACTTCTGCATTCTCTTAAAGCTACGTACTTATTGCTGACGTCAATATTGGTATTTAACTATGCCAGAAAACAATATTTCTAAATTAGTTACAGAACCACTGAACTTTACATAAATGGCCTTAAGAGAAAAAATAGCAAATGTCTATTTGAGCTGATCAACTGGCAATATTCCAATCTGTCCTTTTGCTTTTTACTATTTACAACTTCCATTTTTCTAAATATTCTCTTGAGGTTTTACACAAAAGGCAAATGACCTACGAGAGCCTTGAGGTCATCTATTCTAAGACCGATATGTATTTTGACAAAAAATGAATTTTATGTGATGTTTAAAGCCAGTTTATACGTATAGTCAGTAACAGGGATAAATTCATCTTAAGCAACGTATAAAAAAATTATTCCAGTCTCCTTGGTATTCAAAAAATCTCTAAATAAAAATATTTAGCTCGTTTTCCAGCCATACCCTCTAACAATTTTCCCAGCCCTAAGTATCTAACACATTTTTCTAGCCTTAAATTTCTAGTTCATATTTCCAGTCTTTAGTCTCTAAATCATTTTTCCAGGCCTTCAGTCTCTCGCTCATTTCCAGGCTTCAGCTTCTAGCGCATTTTCCAGTCTTAAGTATCTAGCTCATTTTTCCAGCCTGCAGTCTTTGGCTTCTTTTCTGGTCTCATGTCTACAGCTCATCTTCAGCCTTAAGTCTCTGCCTCAGTTCTTCAGCCTGAAGTCTCTAGCTTATTTCTCTAGTCTCTAGCTCATTTTTCCAGCCTGCAGTCTTTGGCTTCTTTTCCGGTTTCATGCCTACAGCTCATCTTCAGCCTTAAGTCACTACCTCATTTCTTCAGCCTGAAGTCTCTAGCTTATTTCTCTAGTCTCTAGCTCATTTTTCCAGCCTGCAGTCTTTGGCTTCTTTTCCGGTTTCATGTCTACAGCTCATCTTCAGCCTTAAGTCTCTACCTCATTTCTTCAGCCTGAAGTCTCTAGCTTATTTCTCTAGTCTCTAGCTCATTTTTCCAGCCTGCAGTCTTTGGCTTCTTTTCCGGTTTCATGTCTACAGCTCATCTCTAAAGTCTCTACCTCATTTTCTTCAGTCTGAGGTCTCTAGCTATTTTTCTAGTCTCTAGCTCATTTTTCCAGCCTGCAGTCTTTGGCATCTTTTCCGGTTTCATGTCTGCAGCTCATCTTCAGCCTTAAGTCTCTGCCTCATTTCTTCAGCCTGAAGTCTCTAGCTTATTTCTCTAGTCTCTAGATCATTTTTCCAGCCTGCAGTCTTTGGCTTCTTCGGTTTCATGCCTCACAGCTCATCTTCAGCCTTAAGTCTCTACCTCATTTCTTCAGCCTGAAGTCTCTAGCTTATTTCTCTAGTTTTCATTTTTCAAGCCTGCAGTCTTTGGCTTCTTTTCCGGTTTCATGCCTACAGCTCATCTTCAGCCTTAAGTCTCTACCTCATTTCTTCAGCCTGAAGTCTCTAGCTTATTTCTCTAGTCTCTAGCTCATTTTTCCAGCCTGCAGTCTTTGGCTTCTTTTTCCGGTTTCATGTCTACAGCTCATCTTCAGCCTTAAAGTCTCTACCTCATTTCTTCAGTCTGAGGTCTCTAGCTTATTTTTCTAGTCTCTAGCTCATTTTTCCAGCATGCAGTCTTTGGCATCTTTTCCGGTTTCATGTCTGCAGCTCATCTTCAGCCTTAAGTCTCTGCCTCATTTCTTCAGCCTGAAGTCTCTAGCTTATTTCTCTAGTCTCTAGCTCATATTTCCAGCCTGCAGTCTTTGGCTTCTTTTCCGGTTTCATGCCTACAGCTCATCTTCAGCCTTAAGTCTCTACCTCATTTCTTCAACCTGAAGTCTCTAGCTTATTTCTCTAGTCTCTAGCTCATTTTTCAAGCCTGCAGTCTTTGGCTTCTTTTCCGGTTTCATGCCTACAGCTCATCTTCAGCCTTAAGTCTCTACCTCATTTCTTCAGCCTCAAGTCTCTGGCTT